GAGCACGTTCTGATCATAATGCACTGAGGTGGATAAGAAATTTTAAGCAACCTAAAGGACAAGTAGCACGATGGATTGAAAGATTGTCCGTTTTTGACTTTGAAATTGAACATAGACCTGGACGTAGTCATGGTAATGCTGATGGTGTATCACGTATACCTCAGGATACTCGTGAGGTACAGAGTGGCCACGTATGTAACGCATCGAATGGTAATGACGAAACGAGCCCGTGGTGTCTGCGCTGGACAGCGAAGGAACTGAGTTTGCATCAACACGAAGATCCAGAGATTTGTCGTGCGATCGGATGGGTGAAAGACGGTAAGCGACCACCGAAGGAGGATATAACACGTATGGGTCCTCTAATGGGCAAACTTTGGAGCAAATTCGATCAATTGACGCTTGTTGATGGACTTTTGTATCGTATTTTCGAGAACGATAATGGTAATGACCGACATCTTCAAATTTGTTTACCACGAAAATTAATAAAAGAAGTTTTGGAGTTGACTCATGATATTCCCAGCGCGGGTCACCTCGGTTCTCAGAGGTTAAAAGAAGTGATAAAGAGAAGATTTTATTGGAGCGACTGGCAGTCAGATGTCGAGATGCATTGCAAGAATTGTCAGATATGCGCAGAACGAAATGGACCGTCGAGAAAACGATGGTATTGGATCAACCGGGATACCCAATGGAACGTGTTGCTATGGACATCATTGGACCACTACCTAAAACCCCTGATGGTAATCGATATATATTGGTGGTCGTGGACTATTTCACGAAATGGCCGGAGGCGTACGCGATTCCAAATCAAGAAGCACGTATCATTGCACAAAAATTGGTGGATGAGTGGATTTGTAGATATGGAGTCATGCAGCGACTGCATACGGACCAGGGGAGAAATTTCGAAAGCGCGGTCTTCAAAGAGATAATCGATATTCTTGGGATAAAGAAAACCCGAACAACACCATACCACCCTCAAAGTGATGGCCTTGTTGAACGAATGAACCGGACTCTGAAAGATATTCTTTCAAAGTTGGTCAATGAACGTCAAGATGATTGGGACAGATGTTTACCTCAAGCATTGTTGGCGTACCGGTCCACCGTGCAAACCTCAACAGGGTTCTCTCCACATTTCTTGATGTTTGGAAGAGAAACAAGAATCCCAGTTGACCTAATGACACCTGAGCCCCCTCAAGCAGAAGTACCACTGACTACATCAGAGTATGCGGAAAAATTGAGGAAACGTTTTGAAAGAACATACGAGTTGACCAGAGTAAATACAAAGAAATCTAGCGAGCGATATAAAGACTACTATGACGCGAAGGCGAAAGATACGACGTGCAACGTCGGGGAGAAAGTATGGTTGTATGTACCATTTGTCAAAAAGGGAAAGAATTTGAAGCTATCACGGCCGTGGCGGGGACCATATACGATTGTGAAGAAAATTTCAGATGTGGTGTATCGAATCGAGAAAAATGCCAACAAAAGGAATAGGTTAGTAGTCCATTACAATCGTCTTAAACCGTGTTTTGAACGACCGTTGAAAAGTCTACCTAATCGACCACCAAACGAGACGAAACTGCAATCGAAAGAAACCCCCGAAACGAGAAAAGAAAACGTGGAGAATTGTAGTGGCCAAACCCCGCAAACGGAACCCCCAACCAACGGAGGAAATGATGAGGATGAGTGGACAGTGAGGTATTTTAGAAGAAATTTGAGACAAAGTAGACCAAGTCGGGCAATTAACGGGGAGGAACACGGACAAAATTTACCTGATGAGGTCCAAGAGGACGTACAACATTTACCTGACGAATTACAACAGGATGGGCCATTGAGTTCAATGGAACAGAATAATCAGAGAGACGGTAGCGACGAGACATTGCGAGAACCAGTAGAAGGAAACGAGGGACAGTCACAAGCCCCACCGGAAAGGCCAGCGCGAACGAGAAAAAACCCAGCGTGGTTACGGGACTATGAATAGCTTTAGCTATACATATATGTCGGACTGTACTGCATTTTTGCAGCTTAGTTATCTATTAAATTGTACTGCATTTTTGCAGCTTTGTTATCTATTAAATTTAGAGGGGAATAGTGTAGAGAATATAGAGACCGACGTTATAGAGACTGACGTTAGCAAATATAGGTGGCGTGGACGAGCGTTGATCGATAGTTTTAAATCCGAACACTACAGGAAAGTTGTAAGACTGTTAATATTAATATATCTTCAGAAATAAACTATTACAAAACTATTAATATAGCTAAAAAATGCTCATTATTCCACGACAAACCGGTTACAAAATATCGTTTAAAATTTTACCTTTTTACGGATTATATGCATGCCGCCAGCGAAAAGAACAAGTCAATATACAGTTTTAAGCTGTTTCGACCGGCCATGTTTCTTGTCTACTTGCAGGCTTGCTCCCAGATCCCCACTTCAGAAAAGCAGAGAAATTTTGTGAGATTTTGTGGCTTTGTTTCGAGTTGAATCGACAATTGCGTACCAGTGACACACTCAGTGGTGGCACAGTGCTGCGTGCAGATATTTCGCGGTTTTTTTCAAAATCGCGGTAAAATTATAAAATGTCGCATTTGCTGGAAGAACACAGCAAAAGAAAGCTACATTGGCAATTAAAAGTAAGTGCTGAAGCCCTTCTCACTTATGTTAGACAGCAAGCGGATTTATTTAATAACAATATATACAATTATGAAGCGATTGGCCGCTGCCTACAAACGCGGGCGCAAAATGTCTCATATTTCCGGTAATCGGGAGGCACTTCATGATTCAAGTCAAGTTTGATGCGCTGAATTCCAAAATTGATGGTAAGGTCTCGTTTTCATGCATTTTTCATACATGAAAACAGTAAACATTTGAAAATTGTTTTTGATATTTCGACTAGGTTTTAGCTTTCATCAGGCATGATGAGAGTACTATATATCATATATTGGGTATGTACAGCTATTTCAATTAACTTAAGGTTTTCCCGAGCAAAGCCGGGAAAAGTCGAATACGAGCGCATAAAGGCTTGCTGGGAATCGCTAAGAAATTAATGATTTTTTTAGTGATTCCCAGCAAGCCTTTCGCGCTTGTATTCGACTTTTTCGTTTTGTTCGGGGACAATTAATTGAAATAGCTGTATACAAGTGAAGAAAAATCAGAAATACTATATATAATTAAGTCATTAGTTATTTAGAAGCTTTAAGGTGATATAGGTTTCTGTCTGCGTATCTCAAGCGATTCTTTGAACATTAATAAAAACCAGTGGTCTGCTCTAACGATTATTTTAGATGAATGGATGGAAGGATGGATCAACTTTATTTAAAAACACACTAATCTTTTCAACAAATGCTAGTTTCCAAAAGCGGTGTATACTACTATACGACAGAATAAATCCCTCCCCCCATTAATTACTATGACTGATGTATGTTCACTACTGATTTCATAAATTATACAAATATTATGAATTTGTTAGCTAATATAGTACAATAAATTAGTAAAGAAATGTAAGAAAATTACTATTATGCATGATGATTGCTAACAGTTATTAATAGGTCTTATTAAAAAACTAATCAGATAATATGCATGTTATATTAGAGTATTGGTGTGGTGTAGTTTAGTTCTGATCTAGTTGAATTGATCTCGTTTCAGAACTGTCTTTCCAAACGTCAGATAAACATTTTCATTTTTCAAAATGTTTACCGTTTCTGCAGTTACTATTGTAATGTATTTATGTTAAAAATTTTGACTTATTAGGTGCATATACCGTCGATCTAAAGATAAACACTCTCTCCTACGTATGTATACTTGCACAGCGCCCCCCCCCGACATACACACATTTTTTCTCTTTACGATTAATTTAGCCACTCTTTCAAAACTGAGGAGAAACGAACCGTGAATTCTTTTAGTAATGTTTTCGTTTTTGATATTAAAAAAAACTAATTGTGTGATTAATGCACCAAATAGCGTATCGTTGTTCTTAAAAATAGAAGCATTTTCTGGGGTATCATGTCTCCGGATGGCCAGACAATCAATACCCTCCCTCCCCTCTCACCACTTGTTTGTATTTGGCCACACCCCTATATAGATTTTGGCAGGTTTGATTAATTTTGGGCAAGATTTGGTAAACCGACACATGCGCATCAACAGGGTCCCAGCCTTCTCTGGTAAAAATTGCTGAAATTAAAAATGGAAAGCCTATATCTAGGCTGTGCTGTGCTTATTTTTGCATATATGTTTCTATATTTGTGCATTGAACCTGACCAAAATAACTAACTTCAATAGCTTCCTTTGGCGGAGGACGTGATGCATTTATATACTCCTTCCGCCCGACGAAATTAAAAAATTATAAGTCGGGGAAAATGACAAAAGGTCGGGCACATTTCTTTCTGCACTTCCTAACTCCTAATATTTTTACGTACGCTGATGTTCTTAAGTATTGCAAATGCGTTGCATTTATATTTCAGTCTGGGTGTGAAGAAGACAACGAATGTCAGAATGGTGGAATAATGGTTTGGGATCCAGTAAAGCCTTTCAAATGCGAATGTCCAGAGAATTACGTGCGGGAATTTTGTCAGCAGAAGATATGTGAGTAGGTCAAGTTTTTGAAGATATTGTAAAGTCAGAAGTGTATGTAACAATAACATACACAATATGGACACGTGAGATTTGTCTTGACGATAACGCTGGTTTCTTATCCAAGCGAATTAATGAGTGATATTTAAAGTGAATTAATGAGTGATACAGAAATTATATTGCAGTATTATATTACTCAATCGAAATTTGTATCCAATATAAACCTTTATATTGGATACAAATTTCGATTGAGTAATATAATACTGCAATATAATTTCTGTATCACTCATTAATTCACTTTAAATATCACTCATTAATTCGCTTGGATAAGAAACCAGCGTTATCGTCAAGACAAATCTCACCGTCATGACTTCCTCCGAAGTTTGCGCATATTTAATGTTGATGACAATTACAATCATTTGACCTTTGCTAAACTGTAAATGTTAAAAATCATATCTCATACCGGGAGAACAACGACATAAATCTACACAAAAATATCATCATCATCTAGACAAAAATCATCAAATGTTATAGGTCTCTTGAAAATGCACATAGAGGAAAATATATGTGTAACAACGATGAAAAATATGAAATATCCTCGAAATATAATTATAATAGTTTACTTTGCAAAATATTTTACATTAGATGACTTGTCTGACTCAGAAATATTGACCAAAGAACCACGACAATTTTATGCCCACCTTACAAAATGGCTGCCAATAGTCACAGGAAACTGGACCGTTTGTTGGCGTGCAAGTGAACATGGTTGGGGAGGCAGGATCTTTCACAACAGATGTGATGATGAAAAACCAACACTCATCATTGTGAAGGTTGTCAAGGATGGGAAGAACTTCATTTTCGGTGGCTTTGCTACAGCTTCCTTCAAGGGTAAGATGTGTTTCAAATACAGTCTGCAGGGTGCAATAAATCACATTCTTACATACCGGGGGTACACCATGGTCTGGTACTTCCGTTCATCAACCGCGGCGATATCCTTGCTATCTATGTACTGTACTTGCATTCACCTTCCCAATCCCAAAATATTCAAAATAAGGTTGAAAGTTACTACTTTTCTATTTCATAATATTTTGTCTTTATGTTTGAGCCAAATTAAAGCATCAAAAGGCTCATCTTGGGCTCGTGGTATATTTACCTGTACATTTGCGCCCATGCGACAATTACTGTAACTAATTGAAAAAAATGTCACACACAAATTAAAACGATCAATCTGTAATTTGAGGAACATGATTAGTTTTTCTAAAATATATTGAAAAAGCAGCAAAAATCTTTGATAAAAACGAAAATTCGAAGCTCAAGCGAAAACTTTAAATTTCTAAGCACCGAAAACAAACTCAATACACATAATTATATAGGATATTAATATTCACCTACCTTAAGGCGAATTTCCAGTCCTCGCACGAAGCTCCTCGCACCTCGCTGCGAGTAGCCTGCGTGCAGCCTGACTTTAAATGGAGAGAAGTCAATCTGCGAATCAGGAAACAATACCGTGTTCGCGCCATCTTTTGAATTGCATGGATTTCTGTATTCAAACGTGATTGGCTATCGCTCAAAAGCCTAACACACACGCTACGATTGACCAATTCGTTAATATATATTTGGTTCAAACAACATTCCAGAATGAAGAAAATGGCGGACAAAAACACAAAGAGCAATGTTGTGTGTAATTTATGCACAAACCCATACAAAAGATATGAAAGGGTTCTCATTGAGGTTCCCAACTCAAGATGCCATTTTGCTAAATATATTATTTTGTTGAACTGAATCTATTAACGAATGGCCAATCGTAGCGCGTGTATTAGGCTTCTGAGCAATAGCCAATCACGTTTGAATACAGAAATCCATGCAATTTAAACGATGGCGCGAACACGGTATTGTTCCCTGATTCGCAGACTGACTTCTTCCCATCTAAAGTCAGGCTGCACGCAGGCTAGCTGCGAGTGCATGTATGAATAATTTCATCCAATCACAATGCTAAACAGTTAATTTTAATTAGATGCAAGCACTCGCAGCGCGCTGCGAAGAGCTTCGGTGCGAGGACTGGAAATCCGCCTTAAGTGACAATCCTTGCCTCGGACCTTCATTAGCAATTTTGAATCTGCACTCCGTTGGCCTATAAATACTGTAGTTTCGCTAGGAGGCGATCCTTCACTATAGATGAAATGGGCTACTGTGGCAACTTTAGGTTAGCGAAACTAGTAATATTTCAATTCGTGTTTTTTGAAGAAAGGGCTTAACTTTAAATAAAATATTCCGATATACCGAAGCTATGATACTAACATTATTGCCACATCATTTCAACCACTGCTGTTGCAAAGAACCATGTTATGAATATGCAATCCGCAAATACTGTGAGCTCAGCCCCTCAAACTGGATATTAACAAGAGGCTCAGCCCCCCTGAGTTTCTAACATGAAGGGCAGAGCCCCTACAACCTTGCATGGATATGTATTTATTTATAACAAAAACAATATTTATACAAAATAATTCATTTCTTAATTTGGTTATTAGGTCCTGGTTTTATACACGCTCCTGGGTCTTTCATCTTCTCCTTGAGAAATAACGACAACCTCACTCCATTCAAGATTCCACTGATAAATGATTTAACGCGAAAGGCACTTTACTCTTACTCCGACAGTGGACCATCGTTTAGATATGATTTATTCATATCAGATAAAGCCAACTCTACAGCAAACTCTTTGGCAGATCTTGGTCGTGAATATCAAACCCCTCCTGGTTACAAGGTTTATGAAGAAAATACTCAAGCTTTGTTAGCGGGAAGTGAGAATTTCACTCCATTAGAGGTTGAAGTTTTATATTTCCATGAGTGAGGCATGGCACAACGTTTTCTTGCCGCGTAAATGCATGTACGTATGATTTAATTAATAGATGTTTATAAGGATATGACAATAAAAGTAACATTGTCTCAGTTTATATTAAGAGAATTTTGAAAATTACATATTTATAAATGGGCAACATATGGTAGTGACGTAATAAGCAATATTTACAGCGTGTTAAATAAGACAAGTATACAAATAGCAGTTATTGTAAGAATATGTTTATAAGTTGATTTTTGTCATCAAATTTTGTTAGAAGCATTTTTTCTCTCAAAACAAAAAAGAGATTTATTGTCTACGGTTTCCTTTGGTAAAAAATTCCAAAACTTCAAATGAATGTCGCATCAAACACGAAGCTTTGTTTCATGCTACTGGAAAGCGGAACGAAGCTGTATCTGCATATCTCGACCCTAAGTTCGTAGTTCTACGAGGGCCACAACCACAATCAGAATCAATCAGAATCAATTTATTTGCACTTACTTCTAGCTTCCAAAGATATTCAATTCATTATTAATATACCATACATATTTACATTAAATTATAAAAAAATATTTATGTTACAAGCGAAGAGTGCGTAGTGGCCAAAGGAGCAAAGAGGGACGTAGGAAAATCACAAAAATGGAAATGAAAATGATCAAAATAGACTGAAATGATCAAAATATATAGACTGTTTTTAATCAAATTCTGGAGAGATTTGAGGTTCTTTGAACTGACATGGTGTCCCAGCTTATTCGGAAATCACCGAAGAAGAATTGCGCCCTAGATCCTATGCCTACATCACTCATAGTCAAGAGTCTAAATGAACTGCTACCTGTCATTACCTGCATGATCAACTCCTCCCTCTTGCTAGGTTATTTTCCCTCTGCTTGGAAATCCACCCTTGTCGATCCAAGACTCAAGAAAACCGGTCAACCTGCATCGCTATCAAATTTAAGACCAATAAGTAACCTCCAATTTGTATCTAAACTGACGGAAAGAGCTGTAAGTGACCAGACACTTGAATACATTAAATGTTCAGATATATACCCAATCCTACAATCAGCATATCGAGCTGGTCATAGTACGGAAACAGCCTTACTAAAAGTACATAATGACATCATGTGCTCTATGGACCAACAAAGAGTCTCACGACTATTACTTTTAGACTCGTGCGCTGCATTTGACACTGTAGATCATCAAGCATGTTATTACGTCGTCTTGTGGTCAGCTTTGGAATAACAGGTACTGGCCTTAAATGGTTCAAACCCTACTTAACTAACAGATCTCAACGTGTGCTAATAAATGGTAACTACTCCGAAAGTTTCTCTCTCCCTCATGGTGTTTCTCAAGCTCTTGTCTCGGTCCGTTGCTTTTCACAATCTACGCAAGCAAGCTATTCGAAATAGTCAAGTGTCACCTGCCAGACGTGCATGCATATGCTGATGATATTCAATTATACCTTTCTTTTAAGCCGGACGGTGCTACTAATGAGCTTGATGTAATATGTGCACTACAGAATTGTCCCCGAGCCGGCGGCGCGAAGCGCCGTGCGAGGGTACTAATTCCCCCCGGCTATTTACACCCGGGGAAACGAAAGCATTAGCGAAGTCTAAAGTTCATCAATGAGCGCGGGCGTCGGTCACCAACGATGGGTGGTCATCCTCACTGATCTCAAAAATATGGCGGACTGTCATGATTAACGGACACTGATTGGTCCAATTTAAAGTTTGCATTATAACGGCTGCATGACGACAGCGAAATAGCAAACATTTCTTGATTTGATGAGTTGATGATTGATAAATTTCTTGCAAATATTCTTCATTTTTGCTCGTATTTCTGCAAGATTTTGTAAATTTCAAGAAAGAAAGGACGAAAGAATCAGCTAAAAGAAGGGAGCCGACGTTAACGAAGGTAAGTTTGTTTTAAATATTGATTTTATAATGGCTTTAAAACCCGACGCCTTTGCGTATATGAAACAACTAAACAAGACAGCATATAATTTAAGTGTATCTTTAATATTGATTCCCTTTTTTATTATATTGAATTTTTTAAATAAAAATAAAGCAAAGTTATTTGCAAGCGAGAATTTGAAATCATTTTATTGCAAACTCAAAGTTTATCGATAAAGCCATTTAATAGTTAAAGGCAGTTTAGTTTTATAAAGAACACTTTAAAACGTTTTGTAAATTGTTTGTGGTTGAATTTTACCTTAAATTGAAGCTTGTATTACGTATGATTACATACCTAACATATATATGTTGGGAAATTGATAATTTTGTAATTAAAAGTGATATTTTTAGGCGATTTTCATTTGTAAGAATATTCTTAAAAAATTATTGTGTTACCATGACAACTACTTTAGATACTTCATGTTCGGAAAATACAGCGGTTTTGTCAGCAAGGCGAGGGTTTCTGCATGCATGTATTTTCTAGTATCAAGGATATCAGGACTTGGATGACAGTTGATAAGCTTAAACTGAATGATGGGAAGACAGAGTTTTTAATAATTGGAACCACTACTCAGCTCAAAAAAGTTAACATCTCTAGTATTGTCATTGGTCAAGATAATGTTCCAGTAGTATTGTGTGCCAGAAATCTCGGAGTATGGTTTGATAACAACCTTAATATGTCACATCATATAAATAAGACTTGTCAATCCGTAGTATATCATCTTCATAACATTAGACGTATTCGAAAGTTTTTAAGCTATGAAGATAGAAAGTCTGTGGTACAAGCACTAATAATGTCAAGGATAGACTACTGCAACAGTCTTCTATTTGGTGTCACAGATGTACATCTGTCTAAACTACAACGGCTACAAAATACAGCAGCACGTCTTATCTGTTCAATCCATAAACATGATCACATCACTCCGACTCTCATCAAACTACACTGGCTTCCCATTCGATTAAGGATCAAGTCCATCAGTATGCACCACATTTGATCATATACTTTAACATGTTAATTTGCCCAATATAAATATTAAATATTATTATTATTTATCACCATTGTCATCATCTGACAAATGTTCTCCTCTGTATTCTGGTCCGGAGAATAGTTGTGCAATCGCAACTGGAACCTACCAGTACACTTCAAGTACGCTTTTTCACAGGCACAACGTTTTGTTGTCGTTTCGCATATGAAAAAGTGCACTCGAACCAGTTATGTCACCCCCTTAGATAGTAAACCAAAGGCAACTAGTCAATATGATCAGATGGATGACCATGCCGGCAGCTCCTGGTAGAATTCTGGAAACGTTAACTGTGATTGTATATCTGGATGTTCAACAACCTCGTACCCAGGGTTGTCTTTGTGCTGGCCCTGGTACGAGGTTGGATGTTCAACAAGACGTTGTGCCTGTCAAAAAGCAGAATTGAAATGTACTGGTCTTTGTCGCTGTTGCGAGTGCACAAATTTTGCCGACCAGAATGCAGACGAGAACAATTTGTCAGATGATGACAATGATCGAACTTGACGGCGATGACACTGGATTCGATGGCGTATTTGAAGAACTGTGATGGTAATGCACGTAGGTATTATCTGCGCAGTGCAGTAGATCAGTTTTTATTTACTTATTCGATATTCTCATTCGGATCCACAGTATTTATATTATAAACAAGTATATCCCTTTCATACACAGGGTTAACAGTATGGTCATGGCTGAGAAGCTGAAACGCACCCTGCTGGGGGAGCTCAAACGCACCCTGGCGCAGTAGCAAATCTAAAAGAAAACGTCAACGTCAACTAGTGCACACACGAAAAGCCAGGTTGAATCGTTCCTTGTTATTCTAGATAGCAGAAAAATACCAACATATGTCACAATATAATATATAGTAGAACTTTACCAGACAAAAGCTAGGACAGCTTATTGCAGAATACATGCAATCTCGTTTTGAGCGTAGGCCCTTGGCCAGGATCCAATAAGTGGGATTTTATTGCATTGATAAAAATCTGGGCTGAAAAATGAAAACATTTCTTTCATTTATAGATAGTTATGATGAAATGATGGATTTTATATTTCCTCCCAATTTATCTTTTTTTATGACGAATTTCGAGTTGGTGCCTGGGAGATGTTTCTTTCACAGTTAAACGTCGTTCACTAATGTAGTCCGGTTTCATCAGTTGGAAAAGATGGTTGGAACGAATGAAAAAGTTGGTCCAAATCCAAGATTGGTATCATAGAATATACTTAAGCGATGGATGGAATGCACAATTTAAGAAGCACCAAACATATCTTGCATAGTTGATAGTATTCAATAATATATTAAAAATTCAATCAGAGGTTTTCCTAGAAGTTTACATAAATATTCCTTCTTCAAAAGAAGTAACTTGGCGTTTAATTTACTGAACCTCTTTGAGTCTTTCCAGTAGGATCAGACTTGAGAATAGAATACGTATTTCTGTTATTCAACAGTGAAAGAGCCTTTTCGCGGTAATCAAAACATAGTATTGGGACAATTAGCACTACAAATATATAATTTAATTAAATATATTTTCCAAACTATCCCACTTTTGTGAGCAAATTTCATAATTACAACCTATGTACACCAGTTAAAGTTATATACTGTATTTATACCGTCCATCATTTTATCATTATAAGATTAGCATCTGTCAAGAGAATGACATATACAGCTTATATCAAATTATATTTGCACAGACAAAGCATATATACTCAACTATGGTAGGCGAGCAAGCCCAGGTAATCATCTTTGTTTGCAAAATATCCATTGTACATTAATTGACGTTCTACTGTGACGTCAAAGAATGCGGTAAAAAAGTAACATATTTTGTCGCGAAATTATTGACGCTTAAGTGTTGCAAAATAAATAAATAACAGATAATACACATTTGCGATCGCACGTCGCATATTGACTTAGGGAATGTACATTTATTACGCCGGGGAGGGGGGAGGATGAAGATGTCTTGAAAAAAGCTCATATTTTTACAGGGCCCCTGTTGAGGTTATTGGTAAATTTTCGATGCCCCCCCCCCTCCAAGTTTTTAAAATTTTCAATGCCCCTCCCAGAATTCGGAATCGAAAGAGTACAATACGGAATTCTCTCTTATCATAGATACAATTTGCAGTTCCTCAAGATGTCTGATATACTAACGCATGTGCTTCTCCTCAACAAAAATACCGACCTGCTGACCATGAAATGTCACCGTTTTAAAAAAAAATTTAGATTGGCTCTAGGGGTGAAATTATCAACAGGTTGTTGTTGTCCGTCATTCAGCGTATAGTCTGAGTCTTGAACGCGTTCATGTAGTGGCCGGGATTTCCTGGATCAGGGTAATGAGCTGGAACCTTAATAGAGAACGTCGCCCCACATGTCTTTGCATACCTGTCAAAATGCATGCAAAAGCGCCAGAATGTTTCAATTTCTTTACTTTTCATCTCGTTTGTACTAAATATCCCATGGACATAGAACATATCATTCTTACAAATCGTACGCTTTTTTTGTTTTTGGAACTGCTACTTTTCGGGGGGTAAATTACTTCACAAACCTGGCGCCAAAAAATTTAAAATAAGCCATAGGTCATTTCATGTATCCATTTAGAAAAGCAGAATAAGGATATCTTAAAACTGAAATCGGTTTCGAGTACAACCATCAGGGACGTAGCGGAGCATCTGACGTTTGGGGGAGGATTATATGTGTAATAATTATAATAAAGCTTTTTGTGATTGATTGGCACTCTCATACTACGTTTTGGGAGAAAAGGGGGGTCTGGGGTCCTCCTCCAGAAAATGTTTACATTTTTGAAGCTCTAGGACTGAATTTCTGGCATTTTCTAAAGCAAATTCGCAAACAAATTGCATGTAAATGGACTGTATTTTAGAAAAATAGTCATTATTTCACAAAAATAATTACTTTATTACGCAAATTTTACCTGAAAATGTCAAAATGTTACATGATTTTTGCCTGAATTTTACAGTAGGGGGAATTTTACACCCTCCTACCTCAACCCCCAGTTTCTACCTCCCTGACAACCATTCCTTGCGAAGATATAATGACTTTAATTTCTAAAAATCCGCCATTTTGTTCTATTTTTAGTAACAATATGGGGCATTTTTCGACATTTGTATCGCTATATCTTCCCATAAAATGATTGTATTTAGAAACAGATTTCAGTTTTAATTAATTAAAGTACCCTTGGTCTGCTCTACAAATGGATTCAGTAAAATCACCAATAGCTTATTTCAATTTTTTGGCGCCATCTTTGTGACGTAACTTACCCGC